TTTACTCTCGCAAGGATCCTGGAGGGGGCCTGGGAGTACGCTTATCCGGTCTACATGTGTTTTGTAGACTTGGAGAAGGCGTATGACCGAGTTCCCAGGGAGTTACCGTGGGAGGTGCTGCGGGAGTATGGGGTGAGGGGGTCTCTACTCAGGGCCATCCAATCTCTGTACTCCCAAAGCGAGAGCTGTGTCCGGGTCCTCTGCAGTAAGTCGGACCCATTTCCGGTGAGGGTTGGCCTCCGCCAGGGCTGCGCTTTGTCACCAATCTTTTTTGTAATATACATGGATCGGATTTCGAGGCGTAGTCATGGGGGAGGGGGTCTGCTGTTCGGTGGACTAAGGATTGCACCACTGCGTTTTGCAGATGATGTGGTTCTAATGGCTTCATCGGTCTGCGAACTTCAGCACTCACTGGATCGGTTCGCAACCGAGTGTGAAGCGGCTGGGATGAGGATCAGCACCTCCAAATCTGAGGCCATGGTTCTCAGCAGGAAACCGATGGACTGTCCACTCCAAGTAGGGAATGAGTCCTTACCCCAAGTGAAGGAGTTCAAGTATTTCGGGGTCTTGTTCTCGAGTGAGGGAACAATGGAGGGTGAGATGAGCCGGAGAATCGGAGCAGCGGGAGCGGTACTGCAGTCGCTTTACCGCACCGTTGTGACGAAAAGGGAGCTGAGCCAGAAGGCAAAGCTCTCTGTCTACCGGGCCATTTTCGTTCCTACCCTCACCTATGGTCATGAAGGATGGGTCATGACCGAAAGAACGAGATCGCGGATACAAGCGGCCGAGATGGGTTTTCTCCGCAGGGTGGCTGGTGTCTCCCTTAGGGATAAGGTGAGAAGTTCGGTCATCAGGGAGGGACTCGGCGTTGAGCCGCTCCTCCTTCGCGTCGAAAGGAGCCAGTTGAGTTGGTTCGGGCACCTAGTTAGGATGCCACCTGGGCGCCTCCCTAGGGAGGTGTTCCAGGCACGTCCAGCTGGGAAGAGACCAAGGGGTAGACCTAGGACCAGGTGGAGGGATTATATATCTTCGCTGGCCTGGGAGCGCCTTGGGATCCCCCAGTCAGAGCTGGTTGATGTCGCCAGGGAAAAGAAAGTTTGGGGCTCTCTGCTGGAACTGCTACCCCCGCGACCCGACCACAGATAAGCGGGAGAAGATGGATGGATGGATGGATGGTAGAAGGTCAATGATAGAAATATAGAATATAAAATATCAAGAAGAACTGTAAGTGATCTCTACAATAAAACAGTTTAGTGCCGGATGTACAAAGATATTAATAGGAGGATGTGCAAAACAGAAAAACTAATTAACCTTTATTTAAACATTAAAGAATACTTTAGGTTAAGGCAGGGGTGTAAAACTCAATTTCATCGCGGGCCACATTCGCATAAAGGTTGCACTCAAAGGGCCGGTTGTAACTATATAAAAAATATAATATATAGATAAAATAATGTATTATATTACATTATCGCCTTTGAATTGGATTATTATCGGATAGGATAATAACTTAGTAATTAACTACGTCTGAAAGCAGAAGTCCAGGGCAAATAATTGCAAGTCTCTTCAGTGAGCATGTCACAGAACGAGATGCATTGTGGGACATGTTGTTTATGGGCAACCTGCTTCTGTAAAGTGGCATGTAACCGTATGATAAACGTAATATATTCTTTGCAAGCTCTTGCGGGGCCACATAAAATGAGGTCGCGGGCCGGATTTGGCCCCTGGGCCTTGAGTTTGAGACCCCTGGGTTAAGGTCTTCTTTTAAATAAGAAAAAAGCTTTGGGGGTATCTACAGATAAATAGTAAGCCTGACAAAGTACTTAACATCTAATATAATGCTTTCCTGCAATGTTAACTATGTTGAAGCACTTATTTTAACTGATCCATCCATCTTCTCTTGCTATTTTAACTGATATTATACATATTAATTATAATCTTATAAGATGTATGTATATAGTATAAGAAATGTGCAGAATATGACAGTTTAATGGTGGAGGTATACACACATTGATAGATCTCTTGTTGAGGAACCTGGAACCCAAGTTTGTCATCATTGCATAACTACACCATAGTTGTGTATATGATATGTCAATAAACCTTTGAAAATCTTGAAATCTTGAAAGGGATGTGCAAAATAGCCATGTTATACAGTCTTTAATTAACTATTAGTAGAGAATAACGAGTAATGAATATGCTTTATAGGGATCTGCATATAAATCTTTAGTCTTTTCAAGCACCAACTATCAAATATCTCTCCTGATTGTTGGCACTTGACAATCACCTTCCCTGAATTTTACTCAGGTGTAACTAAAGTCTGATTTAAGGGTCGTTTATATTTCACATCATTAATCAGAATCTGCAAAGTAACTAAAATAAATGTAGTGGAGTAAAAATACCAGGTTAACCTCTGAATTGTAGTGGAGTATAATTACAAAGTAACAATGAGCTGTCATGTGGGTATATATTAATGCTGCGCATTATGGACTCAAGCGATTTTCACCCATTTATTAATTATATGTTTTACATTTTAAAGTTGGGGTGGACCCATTCGAGTCCAGTTTTGGATAGTCTGCTGTGGTTTCATTCTATTTCATAGAAGTGTTTGACGCTCGGGTAACCTTGGCACACTGCCCCTCAAACATCCAATCACAGAGCTTGAAGATTAATCACAGGGTTTGTCAAGAAAAGGGACTGTAGTCCCAAACGATAGCTGAAGATTATGGGTAGTGTAGTGTCTTCGGCCATCCTAAACTCAGAAAAAACTATTTGTTTCTCAGAATCGAAGGGGGAAAACACAAAAGCATTGTACACAATTTAAACCAATCAATGTTGTGTAATTAACAAGGATAAACTGATGTTTTTTAGTGGATGAGTAGGCTACTGCAGATTACTATGCAAACTTAGAGACCGGAAATACTGTTTTCACCGCAAGCTGTTATTTTCTGTTGATAGTTATTTCATATCACATTAACACCATATCCCAACGTGCATTGCGGCTAAAACACCCAATCACTGAGCTTAAACTATAGTTGAGGATCTTGGGTAATCAGTTCAGTGGGTGTGTATCGCCTACGTCTGTTTCTGGTGACTTTATTTTGAAATTCAGTTCCTGACGGGTGGCAAAAAAGCCCGATATTATAGAATCAAACAAATAAATAAAAACAAGGATAATTGTGTTTTATTGTAACAGTGTGTTATTTAGAAAAGAATAACAAATTAGAAGGAAAAAAAGATTAAAAAAATACAGATTTCGGTATTCTGAGGCTCTGTGGCTCCATTTATTTTCCTCGCGGACGGCAAAGAAAGTCCGACATTATACGATTTAAAATAAAAACAATAATCGTGGCTTGATATTGAGTAAGAAAATGTTTCTCAGCTTCCGGTCTTCCAAGACCCGACGGGACAAAAATACGTGGTGCATCTAATCGGCTACCGGTACTGACCGGTACTGACTTAGTACCGGTTCTCGATACCCATCCCTACTCTTTCCTTATGGGAACCTTGCCAGTATAAACTTTAACCAACAATATGTTTTGCCCCACTGTGACTACACTTCATATCGGTTATTGGGACCCAAAAAGCTTACGCTGTGAGTTTCAGGGTCGGCTTCATCCACAGAAACAAAGAAAAATGAAGAGAGCCTCATTTAAATGTTTCACTTGGTCAATAATTGTCCCTTGATGAGGTGCTTCTGTGTGTAAGTCAAAGATCTACAAAGGCATGAAGAACTAAGAGGACCGGAAAAAACAATATCCTCCACCTGTCATTTCCATTGGCTGGGCTCAGGTCCCATCACAGGAATAGTTAGAGGCGAAGCACACACAATTATACAGAGAGAAAGACAGGGAGGAAGGTCATTTTTATTGGCTTGGCTCATATCCATCACAGGCAAAGTCAATGTGCAGACACATGCACACAAACCCAGCTGTCTCTGTATCTATCTTGGTTCAGTCTCCTTCGGTCTGACATTAAAGTATTGAACAGAGTTTCATCTGGATGACTGTTATACCACACTAAAGGTGAAACATGTACTTCAACGTGTCTATTGTCATGAGCATTGCAACAAAGACATTATCGCTTTGAGGATCATGGCAAATTCTTGATGTAACTCAAAGGGATATAATTAAGTTGGATGTATTCTCTTGTTATTTTGTGTTAATTCAAAAAGCTGTGTTGGTGTATAAATATAAGGATTAACAGACAGGTTCCAACTTGGGTGTAGGCTCCTGTGAAGAGAGAAGTACTGACTTGCTATGTGGCATTGCTCTTAACACAAAATCTCATTAAACAAAGACCAAAGAAAGACAACAGAGAGATGCGTCAGTCTGTGAAGCAACCAGGTTGCAACCTCCAGATGTGAAATAAAAAATGAGGTTTCATAAATGACTTGTGTTGTTTTTGGAGGTATTATTACCTTTAGCAATGTTAAAAAGCAAGTATCGCTGGAATTCCCATAGAGAAATGCAAATTCTGGCTTTTTCCATCAAAGGATTTGATGTGTAAATAAACTACAAAAGAAAGAGGGATGGTGCAGTGAATTGTACTTGTCCTCCAACAAAATGTAACATGCTGTGTCTTGAATCTGAGCTTCAATTCCTCCATTGTGTCTTTAGAAGGGAAAGCCATTACTTTGATTCAGGAAGGAAGGTCTAAAAAGAGAGCATGAATGTATAACTTGCACTAAACCAACTGGTCTCATGCTCCAAGCGTTAAAGTCATTATTCACGCTGGAGCAACATGAAATATAAGCAGCCCTGAAGTCAGCTACCATTATGCAGTGACTAAGACTCTGAACTGCAAATTGTGTTAGATGGTGATATTTTTAAATGAGAGTATCTGCATTTAATGATAGTATAATTTGCCATTTCAGAACTATAAACTAAAATAAAGCACTTGTTTGAGTTAATAACGCTAAATGATGATGATATTGCAAATGGTAAATAATAGTCATCGTGATCATCATTAGGCCAAAACCACACCTAGCTGTAGCAGCCACTTACCAGCCTGGTTGGTGGTGATGTCTATGGAAACATGCTGAGCAGGGTACGGGCTCTTATTGCTGACTCCATTCACAGCCTGTATCTCAAAGCTGTAGAGGGTGTGAGCCAGCAGGTTGCTGATGAACACCCTGGTGTCAGTCAGACCCAGCTGTCGAGGGACGAAGTCCACATTGTCGTCGCAGTGGGAGCAAGAGCGCCGGTCAGCCCGGCACTTCTTGCACACTATGTTGTAGACGACGTCTTCACGGCCGCCCGTCTCCCTGGGAGAATGCCACTCCAGGATTACAGAGGTTTCGTTCACAATGGAGATCACATTCCTTGGGCTTGATGGGACACCTGTAGACAGACAGCCAACAGATGTACACCAATTGAGTGTGTACTTTAACATCTAGAACCAATTCATATCAGAACGGTTGTGATACTTGAAGCACATTGCTTATCAAGAACAATTGTTTCATTAATCTCCTTACTGTTAGGTCAATTCAGTCAATTTACAAACCCGTAATACTATAGTTGTCAAAGACTAAATTGTCTTTTTCTCTATCTTCAGCACAATTGAAATGCTAATTTATTTGAATCACACCGAGAGATCATACAGCGAAACATTTGCGTCTATCAAACATTGGTTATTTAGCAAAATGCAGTGTTGCATGGAGTATTCTTATCCAAGTGTCTCTGGAGATTCACGCTCCCATTTACTCCCTCATAGCATGCAGCTGGAGCAGAAGCTCAAAGACGATATTAAGAAAAAATCAAGAAAATATAAAACTATTGCCTTGCTTGAGTAGCGGTTTGATATTGGGGTGCAAAAAAGTGGCTTGTTCAGCTCCCCCTAATTGAAGCACAATAAGTTTAAAGTTCAAATCTGCTCAAATAGCAGTGTAGAATTTTGCTTCGTTGAGACTTTGTGTCTCTGCAGCTGCTCAGAGGCAGCTCTTTCTTCTCAGATACCAGACACTGCAGAAGCTTGGCAAAGCTCTTAGTCAGTGCTGCTTAGGTTAAGTGAGGCTGCCCTGCAGAGCTGATCTGGTACCAGTGTATCCTCCATAAAGCCTGACCTTTATCATTAAAAGAGGAGTTTAACTGACCTACTTCTAAATCTATGACTACTGTGAAACAAAAAATCCGCTCAGTTCTCCAAAACCTTTTAAGAACTACACAGCTCTCAATCATTCTGTGCTCTCTTCCCTCGTCTCTTTTCACACTTTATAAAAATATGACATAACAAGCAAACATATTGATTTTCAAGCATATTATTTAACAACACTCCCATTTCTCTGAGCTAAGGGCAGACATTTACTTCAGTCAACACAGACACAATTAATCATTGTTGCAGCAGAACCACGTGGGACAGCCCTAGGAAGTTGGGACAAAGCGGCAGTACACACGAGGGGTGAGGGAACGGCACTGGTACTGCTGCAACCTCAGCTCAGCGCTTCAACAACAGAGAGGTCAGTGACAGGAAGGGTGTGACCTCCATAGTGTGATTATTATGGTCTGGCTGAAAGGACAGCTAGTGCTCCAGAATCATGGTCAGATGACACCTAATTTGGTCCTTGGATACTAACAGATGTCCATGGATTGAAAAGACAAAAAAAAAAGGGTGTGTGCCGGTAGGAACAGGTCATATTAGAGAATTGGCAGCATGTTAGCTTCTCCCCTTGGGGAATGCACAATAGACACTTCATATGTTACTCACGCCACTTGTATCCTCTGTGTAATCCATCACACACATGCACTCGACTCCAAAGTTGCTTCGTAGGGAAAATAAATGCACATCTGCTCAAGTGGAAAATGCATGCGACACAAACACACACAGAGGTACTATCTGTTTCTGTGTATTCATGCCTGCACTGTCTGCATCAATGTATTACAGTGATAGAAGACATTTTATGTGTGCCTGGCTGAGGTGTGAACAAGGTGTTACAGCCATGCAGGGATGGCACAAGAAATTAGATGTGACGGCCACTTAACCAGTGATTTGCAGACTGCAGCCTTTGGCTGTTTTAATTGGCCATAGGATTAATCTGTTGGGAATGTTACTTACAGGCACTCAGCATGTGTTCATTTAGCCTTGCCAATCAGATTTAGTTGTGCTCACATACACGTTGCTTTCACTTATGTTTAAAGGAGCAGAACCTCCAAGCAGCTCCAAGGGCTCCATTTTAACTGTGCAATCACAACAGCCAGTGCTAAGTGTCAGGTCATGTGTGCAAGGGCAATGAGGACGGCAAAGTAATGATAAGCGCTTGTATTATACCCTTTTTAGTAGCTGTGTCAATCGCAGAACTTAGACAATAATAGCTATTCAAATGAAGTCAAGATGGTTGTCGAGAAAGCACAGAACAGTAAGGCAGAAATACATGTTGATATGCAAGTAGTGAGCCATATGATTCAAGCTTTTAGGACTGAAATGGCTTAAAGTGAAATGTTTTAAAATGTTGTTACTGCTTTTAGTAACCGTAAATGTACTCAATTAGATTTGCTTGTGTTGACATGCAAGTCCTTTCTTGGGGGAAAACATAGTTTTTACTAAAAGTGTCAAGTAAAAGTCTTTGTAACAATACCCCATAATAATCCACTTTACGTGACAATCTAGAGAAAGTTATTTTAAAAAGAAACGTTGATCATATTAACTGTCATTGAGCTGTAAAGATATTTTGATCTACCATCCTCCTTCCTTTATCACTCTACAGCTGTGTGGGGCATGAACATCCCAAGCAAATGTAAAAGGTACAAGCAAGTACAGCGCTTGAACCCCTCTCTCTGAACAAGAAAAGACCAAAAGAGAGAGATGGATCACTTTTTAATTAAAATGTACTGTAAAAGTGTGAGGAAGCTTAAAGGTGCCAGCTGGGCTTTAAAAGCCTCAGCCCAGTTTTCCCTTTTTGGCTGCTAATATAAAGAGTGTCCCAGTGCCTGAAATAAACACTTCTGCACATTGTTTACTTATCTACCCTTTGAATGGTCTGAGACCGGAGCTTGTCTTCATTCAAACGGCTTGTTTTTATGATGTGAAACAGGTCTCGAGGGATCAACAGAAGGTCCCTGTGTGGAGATACTGATCACAGCCAGAGGAGCTAGGAAAAAATAAAGAAGGGCTGTGTGGGCTGGTGAGACGTGAAATAAAACATGTTATAAGGACTAATATTGTCTGGCTGAGAGACTGAGGGGGTCATTGATAGACTTTTAGTGTTATGATAGCATGCAGTGCAGTTTTGTAGATGTGGGTGCATCCACATGACTTGTCTCAGGACACGCAACATGAATATGGGGAAGCTTCTCGGACTAAAATAATCTCTACTGTAATTCCAATTTTCAATCACTGCACCCAAAGCTTTAGATGCGATCGATAGACATTTGTGTGCATGCTTGTCTGAAATGTTTTCCAAGCAAGCCCAGGGATTAGAGTAGGCCAAACAATTACCTTGACTTATCTCCATTTGCTATTTACTGAGAGGAAACTGGCAAGTCGACGGCTTGGGAGGCACCCTCAACTGACTCCAGAACTGACAATGTAGTTCATGTTCTGCTCGGGTCTTGATAGATTGAGTGGGGAAGTTCATGAGATCTTTCTAGAGGGTTATCAAGAATAACTTTTATCCAAGGACCTTTTCCCTCTCTGTCTGTGTCTGTGTATTCTCTTGTTCAGATTAACCCAGCCAAATATTTTCTTGTTTTGTATCTATATCTACGCCGGGATCCGGAGTCGAGGCTGATCCTCTTGCTGTAGTCCTGTGTCTTGGATCCTCTATCCCGAGTTCTGGATTAAGTCGTGGACGTTCGGGTCGTAGCTGAACCTGTCTCTGCGGTCCTGCCTTGGGTCTCGTCATGCTGCTTCCCTGATGGCTTCCACAGGATTGTAGCTGACATCCTCGTGGATTCATCTTCTTATTACAGACACATGCATTTCCTAACATTCGGTCTATATGCTGTAAAATGTATTATCTCTTTGATTTACACACGGCATCTATTGCACGTCTGTCCGTCCTGGGAGAGGGATCCCTCCTCTGTTGCTCTCCCTGAGGTTTCTCCCATTTTTTCCCCTTAAACTGTGGGGTTTCTCTGGAAGTTTTTCCTTGTACGATGTGAGGGTCTAAAGATAGAGGGTGTCGTTTTTCTCATACTGATATTCTGAACAATCTGTGCTGTTGTATTTTCTGTAAAGTGTCTCTACTGTAGGCTATTTTTATTATATGTACAGCACTTTGGCTCGACCAAAAATCGTTTATAAATGTGCTATATAAATCAAACTTGATTTGATTTGATTTGGAGAAAAAACACTTGGATAATAGAACAGAATATGTATGCTCTTTGACGGCTCCCTCCTCTGTCTCTTTGAAAGCAGAAAAGGGAGAGAGGAGAGACAGTAAATAGGAGAGTAAAGAAGAACAACATCTAAATGGACTCCAGAGGAAAATGGAAAAATAGATAACCCTATCCTTTCAGTCAGGAATTTTGATGGGTTTGTTTGTTTTTACGAGGCGCAGACAGTGTTTGACAGGGCTCAAGGGGGTTTTCAGGGGTCGGGCCAGATATGAGTATTGAGAAAGAGCTGCAAGAATCAGAGCCAATGTGGTATGGATTTGGAATGCAGAAACCCTTCAGAACCATCCTATTTTCCTTCTCTTCCCCTGTGTTTATGTTGATTCAATAACATTCCAAAGAGTTTTCTCATAAATTGGTTGGTGGCTGTCAGTGGTGGTTTGCATATACTGTACAGCTTGTTTTATTAACTTTTTTTTAATCCTGCTTGAATGTGACTCTCTGTGTTACTGTTGGCTGTGTATAACTTCCCTAGACAGCTCTTTTAATCCATCACTTCTTCTACCTTAAACATACAGATACAAATACAGCCAAAAAATGTACTGTCTAACTTTGTCATCAGTCCTTCCCTGCAATCATTTCCTTCCCTCTACCACCATTTCTCACACCAGGATGCTCTATCACCGCATCTCATCTACCCTATGGACCAATCAGCACTGGTTTCCCGACTCCCGTCTGTTACATCTCATCTCGTCATTCTCTTTCTGAGGCTCACACATATTGAAAAAAAACCTGACCCAGCATGCGGGAGCTGGCTGACCTCCCCCAAAACACATGTACATCCATTTTCTTCTCGTACGGGGGTAAGGACCAGGATGCAGTGCAATGCAAACCATTGTCCCAATATGCTGGGTAGCCAAGCTGAGAGGAGTGGCTTTATGCTGTGAGATAGAGCGCCTGGTGTTCCTTTTTCACAGGCATGGCAGGAGTCAGCACAAGACAGAGGATTGAGATGAAGGAGGTATGGGAGGTGGAGAGGAGTTTGAAGTGCATCCAAGGCATAGCATATCCCTGAGGGAAAAGTAGCGGGGGGAGGGTTATAGCATGAAGCCCCCCTGCTGACAGAGCCAGGTGCTGGACAATCCATCAGGAATATAATCAGACTGATCAGGATCACACTTGGACCCGCGCCTCTGATGGTGTCTAGAGGCGTTTAAGCTACAGCTTCTGCCGCTGCATATTGGCCTGATTTAAGCTACTCAAGCAGTGCTCTTATCAGGACTGGCAGTATTAAAGAGATTCTTACTAGGATGATCTCACTGCCTCCCCCTGCTGAGATCTAGGGCACCATGAGCACCAAGCTCAGCTGCTATACTGTATGAGGCAAACGTCAGAGAAGTGTTCTATTGTGCCGTTGGAAAACAAATCTGCCAACGAAATTGAGGAGACATTGAAGTTGGTTTAAGATGTTAATGTTAAAAGGGACGGTCTAAAATGAAAAGTCTCATAACATTTTAAAAGGCATGCATTTTTGATTGTATGGTAGGGCCCCACAGTATTGAAAAAAAGTGACTTTATTTTTCATGGGATATATATATTGCCTGCTTTGGTTGTTGTTATTAAATAGATCAATAATGATTGTGATTTGTGGTTGGCTCTGTGTACAATGCTTGCATGTCCACTTGGCATTTGAGTTATCATTACAAACCATACATATTCTAACCTTAAGGTTGAGATATTGACAGAGTTAAAATTGTACTGAACGTTAGAGGAAAATAGAGTGTGAAACAGAGAAAATAAGGACAGAAATGACAGAGAAGATACAATTGAAGTGGTGTGATTGAAGGCAGAAATAAGTAAAAAAGGCTACAATCAGAAACTGAACACAATCCAGAGGGATCTGATTAAGAAGCTCCACATGTCATATTTGTCAACTCAAAGTTGTTTATGTCCTTTAAAGGTGACCTATCATGCTATATTTGAACAATATATTGTTGGGCCATACCTATATAAAGTATATAAATATAGTTTTTTTTTCAAAATACCAAACAGATCCTGCATTTTAGCCATGCCTCATTTTGCTCTATATGCTCTTTCCAGCCCTGTTTTTGGCTGATTCTGTGAGCTGCAGCTGACCACGCCCCCGAGCAGGAGAGGGGAGTGTGCTTTGAGATCAGCTGCTCGGCTGCAGCGGGGAGAAGAGGGGGACAAAAAGAGATCTCCGTCCTGTGTTTTATTCTTATATATGATTATATAGAGTCATTATTCATTTGTTTTAAAGCTCAATAAATAACAAAGAAGACCTTTGACCGGCACTTTTCTAATTTTGTCCGGAAGATTTAAACTTTAACGGACATGTTGACCGGCGAAAAAAAATCCAACTGAAACTTTGCTGCATGGTCCCCTCGTTCCTTGGAAGAGGCAGAGAGGTGGGTGTTTGTCATCTGCTGGTGGACTAACTGGAGAGAATTACAGCGAGGAAGGGATTGCAATGAATAACAGCAGCAGGAGCAAACGCTTGCCTCGGGGAGGGAGAAAAAGAGCCACAGCGGAGAATAAACAGAAGGGCAACCGTGGCAACCATGCGCGGGAAGTCTTCTTTTCTGCTTTTGTGGCAGACTACAGCGCCACTTACAGGCCTGGTCGTCTCCAGCGCTTTCGAGCGGCAATGGCCGGCGGTGGCCCAACCCCACATTCCCCTGATAGGTGGAGAGTTGGCCATATAGGCGGAGAACCACTTCTGTGACGTAGAAAATAATTCAAATCTGGATCAGTCTGTATCAGATCCGTTGCAGCCCCGTTTTTAGAGATTTGGGTATGGAGGAAAAGAGAGAGGGTTGTGTTTTCTGACACTTGGTGAGTTCCCTGGAACACCGGGGACACATATTCATGTATAAAAGACGTACAAAAGTGCATTTTGCATGATAGGTCACCTTTAAGTAGGATTCAAACCAATTTAGAACTGTTTCCGAAAGTCCCACCCAGTTTTCTAGTCGGTCTAGTAATATGTTGTGGTCAACAGTGTCAAACGCAGCACTGAGATCTAATAATACTAACACTGAAGTTCTGGCACTGTCTGTGTTTAAGTGGATGTCATTGAAGACCTTTACAAGAGCAGTCTCAGTGCTGTGGTTTGGACGAAAGCCTGACTGGAACACATCGAAACAGTTATTTAAATGCAAGAAATTACTCAACTGTTGAAAGACTACTTTTTCAATGATTTTACCTAGAAATGGGAGGTTTGATATGGGCCTGTACTGTAATTGTTCATTACTTAAGTGTCTAGATTATGCTTTTTTAAGAGCGGTTTAATGACTGCAGTGTTCAGGGCCTGTGGAAAAACAACTGAGTGAAGAGACTTGTTTACTATATGAAGTAAATCTGAGGCCATGCAAGGAAAAACATTTTTCAAAAACCCTGTTGGAATAATATCAAGGCAGCAGGAGGAGAATTTCAGAAGTTGTATAATGTCCTCTTGGTTTTTATCATTAATCTGACGGAATTGTGTCATGGTGTTTGAATTGATGTTAAGTGGACACAGAGACAAAACATTTGCTGTACCTGATGCAGAGGCACTGACTGCTTGTCTGATTTTCTGAATTTTGTCAGTGAAGAAGGAGGCAAATTCATTGCATGCCCTGGTGGATAGAAATGTAGAGGCTACTGACACTGGGGGGTTAGTTAGTCTGTCGACGGTAGCGAACAAGGCACGTGCGTTGTTTTTGTTTTTGGCAATGATATCACAGAAGAAAGACTGTCGGGCAAATTTCAATTCCAAATTATAAAGGCCAAGTCTCTCTTTATAGATTTGAAAGTGCACCTGGAGATTTGTTTTTCTCCACCTGCGTTCAGCTTTTCGACACTCTTTTTTCTCTGTTTTTTTCTCTCAAGGAAGAGAGGTAAACAAACTTTTTGGGGTCTAACAGTGCTCTCCTTCTGTGTAACTGTGTGTCAGCAGGGAACGTCAGGAAGGCTTAGCATATTGCTTTTACATCATATTAAGATAACTACAATGCTGTGAGAGGCCTTATTGGATCTCCAGCGGATAATGGCAGGACAGTGTCGAAAGCTTCGCAGCATCTGCCTGAGTAATTAGGACTTCAGGGGATGATAGCAGACATAAAGAAAGAAAGAACAGCAGCAAGAAAAGGAGACAGAGAGAAGGAAATAACTCAGAATTCAACAGACAGAGAGGTAGCTCTCTGGCAGAGTGACAGAGACGTCAATGACGGAAACCTTCAAATGTGATCATTATGAACAGAATTAAAAGCCAACCAGGGTTTTGGATAGACGCCCTTTAAAATGCTACAATATGTGCTAGTTGGATGATAGTGTGAAAGACACAGACAAAGTAAGGTGGGAAAAAATCTCTACACTTTTGTCATTCTGCAAATACAGTGGCTTGTATATATTTATCTTTCTTTTTTCAAATAGATTTACACTGAAATGGACAATGCCCACATGGATTCCTATATAAGGTACTTTTCGTACAAGAATGTAAGAGTGTGACATTGTTGGAGTGTTTATGTCATGTCATGTACAATGTACTCACTCGTGCAGGGTTCATCCGGCTGATCAGCATCACCACGGTAATAACCGTTGCGGCACACACAGATGGTGGCGGCTTCAGCTGTGGAGCGGCTGTTGGGAGGGCATTGTAGACACAGACCTGGACCCTGGGTTGACTTGAAGGTACCCGGCGGGCATGCTGTGAAAACAGAAAAACAATGTCAGAAAATGGGAAAAAAATATGAGAAAAACCATGAACAAAGGATTATGCATGAGTCAGACATCTGGGTCTAATAAATCAGCTAGAATGGTAAGCAGAGATGAAAACAGACTGAGACAAAAAATGCATATTTAATTTGACCAGAAATTTTCCCACACATCCCCTTTAACACTACATATGTTTACCTGTTTCTTTTTTGGTTACTGTATGGAATAAACTAAATAGATTTGCTTGTTTCATTACTGAGCTTTAGAGGTGCTGGTAGGTGGACCTTTTTAGTTGTTTGCCCCTGTTGATGAGAGAACTTATTGCTCAGTGTATTGCGTAATTTTTTACATGAGAGAGGATTGAACTTATCTAATTATTGGCAAAAGTGTTGAACTATTCCTTTTGTTACTGAGTTTACAATCATGAACAATATCCTAATGTATACAATCAGTAGATTCAAAATCCAGAATCCAGTAGAAAGTTGGTCATCAGGTGCTGCTGGATAACGGTGTGCCTGTGGCCAATCGTCAGTAGTTTTTGCAATGTTGTGATGGCCATTGGCCCATATTCAGCCATTTTAGCTTGTTAAATCAATGGCTGAGGCAATCAGTAAGGTAGAACTGTCTGACTGGCGGTCCAGCCTAGCAAAAAGTGATTTCACAAGGTTCTGTCTTTTTTTTCACCTCCAGTGTTTCCCACCAAAAGACCTGCAAAGACCACATGCTAACAACACCAGTAAAAATATAAAAGGCTTAGTGCCAGTTTTACAATATGTATTCTCCCGGTTATTTTAACACAACTGTTTAATAGGATTGATAGTGGCATGAAAATGGTTGCCTAGTGTCCCGTGTTTTATTTTCAATAATGTTTAGATAAAAAAATAAGTTTCCAATCTTTTTGCTAAACTAAGATGAGCTACCTTACTACTGGATACTGTAGCTCAGTAGTATGTTTATGTTCAGATTGTAAGACTTCCACACGAGGCAAAGTCTCTGGTTAGTGGAGGTTGGTTTCTTTAGTTTGAGTCCTAAATTCTAAAGGACATGGAGGCGGACAAAGATTATTTTGGTTGATGCCTTTGTCCAGGCAATAACCTAATCCATTTACCCTCATATCCCAAAAGAATACAAAGCAGTGGGGGTTTCTGCACTTTGTGGAAGCATTTACTGACTATAATAACCATGATAAATGTCTAATATTTTAGCAGGCTTACTGATGGGGGAGGAAGCTGTGGTGCCACTGAACTCCAGAGGGGGAAGGGTTATACATTTAATGGGACAAGCATCGTACAATGCGTCCAGCTGCTACTATTTTCCAGAGTAAAAGATTGTAAAGGCTTGACTGAAGCTGAGGAATTGGATGTAGGGTATACTTGTTTAAAATGTTTAAAACACTTTTTAAGAATGCTTTTAGAAAGTAAAATCACTCTGAGTATGCACAGCAAAGATATATACAAAGAACAAAAATAATTCTGCAGACAATACAATATATTGTCAGGTTTATAAAAAACGACGAGCCATTGGTTAAGCATTTTAGATATTTAGAGAAAAATAAAACAGTAAAAGCAACATTGAATTTGCTCAACGCAAAATAGTTTTATTGTATCTGACTAAAATCCCTTTACATAAATAGTTGCAAGGAGCTTGTTAAAAAACTATTCGACTAAGGAGTTGGTGGCACATCCCCTCACTGCCAAATCAGTGGATGATGTGGCACAGTGCGAAGTGAGAAAATCCCTTAGACCTGTGTATCAACAGGCATTTTAGAATTAATAAAAAAATGCCACGCTTCATACAACATTCACTGTGAGGCTGGCTTTAGGAAGCCAACGTCTACTTTACTATGTTGTAAAAAGGGCAGGTTCCTGCTCTTATGACTCTTCCATTCATACCATTCAGCCAGCTATCTCTGATGGGCTGTTAGTGAAGGATAGAGAGCTGAGGAAAGGGTGAAAAAGAAAGAAGGTGAGAGGGAAATAGGTGGCATCATGCACACACACAACTCAAGCTGCTGCCCCCAACGGCGGCTGCTCTCCTATCTCCTTTGGTGGGGCTGACAGACACCAGAGGCTAACTGACTGACCTCATGTCTAGTCACACAACAGTATCCACACAGCCAGACTATCACATACAAACACACATACATGACCAAACCACAACAACCACAAACAGCTTATAAAACAACCCTAGGAGCTGTGAGGCATATCACAGCTGCAATGTCCAAGGATGTCCCCCTAAAAAACATAGCTTTCCAAACTGTCGATGCATGTATCAGGGAATATAAAGGGCCTATGGTTTATAAGAGAGCCTTATAAAGGTAATAGTGTTTTTACAAGGGAGTGTGGGCCTCTGTTTTAGTGTGTGGGAGAGGGAGTTTTTGACCTCTCTTGACTTGTATAACACAGATTTCATGTGATGTGTGAGGAGAGTACTGAGATCCAACTAATACAAGAACATTGAGAGTCTTAAAAAACCCTCCCTGGCCATACGGTGGAGTACAAACCAGCTGCAGAGCCTTTTTATAAAGTAATAACTTCCGAAGATAGCAGAGATTACAAGATGATAAAACACAGATCAAAAATTCATTTTCAGTAGGAGCGGGGGAGAGAACTTATGTGTCATCATCTTTGCTATATAAAATGCATACATCTGGGTGAAGCGAAGAACCACACGCATGTACACGGCCAACACACGGCCAACACACAAAGACACTCAAAAAAAGATTGCCCTGACTCTGAGGAAAAGGGATCACCATAAGTTGTTCAGTGTGTGTTTAATGGGGTGTGAGGAGTATTTGTGCATTTGGGTTATGCCCCTGGGTTGTGTGTTTACAGACAGACAGCAGTTAGCCAGGACACTCATAAATGGGCAAGAGTGAAGAGAAAACAGGGAGGACTGTGCTGAATCAGCCGTCTGAGATAGCAGCGCTGCAAAAGTGCCTCAAGGCAAACTTGTGAGCTGAAAAATGCCAACACACATATACACAAACATCTTCAAGTACACACTCGCTTAAATAAACACACACACTGAGAAACACTCCCGTATTGGCATCAGTGCAATCCCAACCTCCCAAACTCATTCACTTAAGTGATTTACAGAGAGACACATGTAGCCACTGCTGACCCCATTAAATGAAATGGCGCACCCACATGTTCTGCTACTTGACTAGCATATGTCCTACAGAACCTGGTGTAATTTAATGCCTCTCCTTGGTCAACTGAAGATGCCGCGATCAGCATTTCAGGAGGGGAGATAAGTGACAGCCAGGGTAAAACAAACAGGCAGCGACACACATTCACAACAACAGCTCACACTCAGCACAAGATAAATGTCCTTCTAGATTATAACTCCTACCTTGGAGCTGAGGCTCTTTCTCTAATTGACCCATAATATGTGCATGAATCCTAGCATTAAACTCATTAATTAGCTGCTCACGGATCTGCCTCACAGAGCGAGAGGGAGGAAGGAACAGAAATGGGCTAAGAGACGGAGAGAGAGAGAAAGTGATGCGAACAATGTTAGCAAACCCTCTGAGGTATCGTAAGGGCGGGCAGCGGTGGGCTGAGCAGCGATATGCTTCATCAAATTTGGAACTGAGCCCAAAGTATTTTCTCTTGATTTGTGAATATTTAGATTGGAGGAGGCCAGGAGTTCTTGTCCCGCAGAATGAAGAAAGCACATAGACCCATGACTCATCAAATGTGTTGGTTTTTCAGGGACAGGAGGGGATAGAACATTGGATCAACAAGCAATTACTCTTCCCAGTGGGAGAATAACCCACAGCTGAACTGGCTGCATGAAAAAATCAAAACATTCTTTCGTTTCAAGTGGTCTCTACAGGATTCTCTGTGTTGTTCTCTCCCTCTTTCCTTCTCACTTCATTCTCCACCTTTACATCTTTTTGTGTCTGTCCCACTGGTAATTAATTGCTCCCTCTCTTCTCCCACCTTTCCTCCCCTTGTTGCTTTCTTGTCTTGATTGACAGGTTTGAATCCTTGTTAAGGTTGACTGTCTTTCCCTTTTTCTCTCCTTCTGTCTCTAGCTCTCTCCACAGTGAGTTGACGGAGGTATGGCAGCTGCGGATCGCTGCTCGCTACTCATCAAAGTCTAACTGAGATGACCTCATGTCACAGCAAACCTGACCGGCAGGGATGAGATGATCATCGTCATTTTCACAGCAGGTACTCTTCCTCTTTCGATAATGACAACAATCTGAATCTGTAAGCTCATAAACAAGCATGTGGACACACTTTGTATACCAGAACTTTCCAAATTTCAAGTTAATTTACAGACACTCAGATTTTCTTTCCACACAACAGTGACGTATTGATTGGCCTGCACGAGTGCTACATGAGATGATCTTCAACATAAGCTAGTCTCTGTAAATAGGCTTTAATGATGGCTGATATGCAGAGCCAGGGTTAGTGCACAGGGGTTAGACCACACAATATGTTTTCTGAGCATATAATAAAGTGTGCCCTGCAGGTAATACATCATACATGGAACCACACTGGCTCTGTGTCACATGGGGCACATCATGTGCTGTTGTATACAGGCTATCAGAATACAAAGTAATTGGAAACTTTGGTCTTATATTATTATGGAGGCAGTGAAATAAGACTTTTATTAGCTTGTCATGCTAGAATCACCAGGTAGGTGTGAGATAAAATATAAAATGTATACTTAGTCATGCAGGAAGTCAATGCAAAGGATTATAAGATGGGTTTGGAAATGACTTCTCACTCAAACCTAATAAAAGTTACAGCACACTAAGTCCTCCCCTGACTTTTACTTTAGCGTCACTCTGAAGTATAAGTGAGCTTTTAAACCCCAAAAAGGTAATCGGTCAAATGTATGCAGCAGAAAGGTATCTTAATAGATATAAGGCTTAAAGGGAAATTATCCATTCCGTAATATGACATATGTATCACTATAGCGTTCTATTATTGCGAAACTCTAAGTTGAGCCAATAAAGTTGTGATTCATGTTGAG